TTTCCACTTAGGAAAGCTTGGTCCCTTAGTGATTCGTTCTCCTGCCTTTCTTCTCGTCCGCTGTGGAAGAATCGCCTTTCTTTCCTCGGTTTCACTGGCGAAGGTCGTACTTCGTCTTCTTGGCGCAAAGCACGAGTTGGTGAGAACTTCAGGTCTCCACTTAGGAAAACTTGGTAGCTTACTGATCCATTCTCCTGCGTTTCTTCTGGTCTGCTGATGAAGAATCGCCCTTCTTTCCTCGATTCCGACGGCGAAGGTTGTACTTCATCTTCTTCATGGGAACTGGAGATAAACTGAAGGACAGCTTTTCTGGTGGCGAAGGGGGTGGGGATGGAGGAGCCCTGCAAAAGGCAGAGCGAATGCCAAGGCACAAAGAAAGATTCAGTTGTAGCCTACAGATAGGCAAAGAAAAAAAAAAAGCCGCATCAACTTCATCCCTAATTAAAGTTTGTGGACAGCTCCTTGCCATTCACCCACCTGTTCTCTTTTCTTCTTCTTTCTTCTTCTTCTTCTTCTTCTTCTTCTTCTTCTTCTTCTTTTCTTTTCTTTTTCGAGTTCTCAGTTCTTCGTTCAAGGCTTCGACATCCTTTTTTTTTTTTTTCCTTTCAATTCTCTTGTTCCCCTCTTTAAGATATGAACTCCGTCTGTATTTCAATAGTTCATGGGTGTAGTAACTGAGCCAGGCCTATGTCCGAAAGAATTTCCAATCTTACAGCCAAGATGCAACATCTTTCTGAGATTCTCAGATGCCCCTCATTATAAGATATACAAGAAACATAGCATCCAACCAGTGGCGAGGCCCAAACTCGAATTGCATGTGCAAGTACATAGCAGGGATAAAAAGGCCCTCACGAGGACCATGGAATGAATGCACAGGCGCTGGACAGAGCTGCTCGGTCTTTGTCAGTCATTGATGTCAATGATGTGCAAACTAGCAGCATTACACTTGCATTTGTTAAGCGTTGCTGCACAAACCCGCAGTGCGCAAACTAGCAGCATTAAACTTGCGTGTTTTGTTTAGCATTGCTATGCAAACTAGCAGCATTGCACTTGCGTTCGTTAAACCACTAATACCTTTGTCGGTTCGAAAACACTCGGCCTCCGACCTTTGTCAGGAGGCCGAAATGAAACGACGGCCGCCAATCAGATTTATCAACGGCAGGCTCGGCCTCCTGAAAGTTCGGAGGTAGACCAGTACTTGTCGAAAACAGGCTCGGAGGTACTAGTGGTTTAAGCATTGGTGTGCAAACTAGCAGCGTTACACATGCACTCGTGAAGCGATGCTGGTCAAACTAGCAGCAGCCCAACAGTCAAGGGGCGCCAACCGTCCGGGTATGCCACACTGACCGAGTGAATATTACGACGACGATGAAACTCTGCGTACAGCACACTCGCTTCATCCTATACCGATGCTACAAGACAAGGTCCTTGGGTGCATCCACAGAAGAATAGACGTTCTGGACTGCATTCTCTCGAGCATCTCTATAGCATCAACAACATCCAGCTGTGTTATGTAATAAACACTGCACGGCAGTTGAAATACACAGCACTTGTTGCAGTCCTTCAACGTTTACAGGAATTTCATTATCTCACCTTTCAGCACTTCCCTGTACGAGTGCGCCGAGATACCGTGTTACGCGTGTTCCAACACCTGATTCGAAACCTTCCATTGCATCATAACGTGTCTTACACCGTCTTCACCCGAATAGACCACGCGGTAATTATCGCCGTATCTGGGATGAAAGTTGTGCCGAATACAGGTATAATGACCGGCGATATATTCGGGTGAAGACGGTAGGAGAGGTGCTAAGCAGAGGAAGGAATAAGACTAGCAACCAAGTTTGCTCGCGTATCTTTGTGGAGGGCAGCGCTGTGGTCCACGCCTCCTCTAGTCAACATCTTTCTTAGTTGACGTCAGACTTCGGGGGAAGGTCTCCAGGTCACTGCACTCACCATACAACGGATAAGAAGTGTGCTGCTCAAACCCCAGACCCCCTGGCAAGCACTGTCGCTGGAACGGATAGCACGCTTGGCGCCGCAGGCCCCACCTGAAGTTGATCCTCTGACGTGGCTGGAAGACAGGTACCGGACCATTCCTCAGCGCACATAATAACTGTGGCAGCGGCAGACAGCGAATCTGCCAGGACACAGGCAAGGGACGACTTCTGGACACGGGCACTGCGCCTGGCAACCAATAATGCCCCTTCGCAGCACGGCAGCACCGAGCAGATGGGAAGACGCAGCCAGACAGCCCCTCTGACGTGGAAACAGAAACATTACTGACTGGAATGAGCAGAGTTGCTCCAGAGATCCTCTCCCCCGTGGAGCAGCTCGGCAAAACGGGGGGTAATGCGGATAAAACTTCATAAAAGATATTTGGGATCAGGGAGGGGAAAAAGAGGCTGGAAGGGCGAGCACCAGTTGAGATTGGTTCCGAAACACTGTCACGGTATAGGAGATAACTTGGAAAAATCACTTTCTCCTTCAAGAAAGCAACTGGGTGGGTTGGACCACGAAGTGTGGCAAACGCGGCGGAAACACGAGAAGAGACAGTCAACCTGTTTCAAAAAAGCAATGATAACGTGCCCCGGAAATTATCCCCGGACATGGTGGGCTGGTATGAGAAAGGACGACTGTTCTTGGATCAGAGTGTCAGCAGGTGAAAGAGAGCTGGCTAGCCTTTCTCCCGGATACCCGACTCTCAGAGCTGCCTTTTGCTCCGGCAGAGTGGCAGCAGCACCCCCCACCGAAAAGCAGGAACGGAAGACACATGTATGTAGCAAACGTGGAGTGAAGGTGGTCTACAGAATGCCGCCCCCTAAAGTCAATCTCAGAGATGTGGCCAGAGACCGCTGGATTAAACAGCGAGTGTAGGGAGAGAAGAGCTCTGATCTATCCGCGGGTTTGGAGCAACCAAGACGAAGCCAGCTAAGGTGGCACCATGACCCCTGATGATACCAGACTGGTGACCAGTTGAAATGCAGTGCAGGGTCCTATCGCCCGATGAGCTGCGTACTTCATGTTTCCATATTTCAACAAGCCATACGTGTGCTTGGGTTAGTTCTCTGTGTTGTCCTTCTGTGTGATTCCAGTGTCATACAGTCTGATGTGTGCCTCTCCGCATGCTTTTATCATCTCTCTACTCCCCGCAGAGGCAAATAGAGCAACACTGCCTCCCCACAAGCGCCTGCCTAATCGACCGCACGAGCCTGGAACAAAAAGGGGTGGCACTGCCCTGGTGCAAATCGTGCCAGGACAGGCCCTGGCACGGAGCTGAGGGGAGTGGATACCGCAACAGTTGGGCAGTGACTCGACGTGGCCATGGCAGTGGTGAGCTCTTCTGTGCGGGGTATGGAAATCGCTACAAGATGATGCCTTTGAAGAAGGGCGGTCCTTTTGTGGGCTTTGGTGCAAAAGATGTATAAACAAAAGGGAGAGCGTGCGGGTGGAAGGTGAGGAATTCGTGGTAATAATTAAGGGATAAATCCAGAAGGATTTAACAGAAAAATGACTAAAAGTGCAAGCACAGCTGGATCTGTATCACACGGAGAAAGTCATTCAACAAACAATCCGGGGTGGGGGGGGGGCAGGGGCAGGGAGGATTAGGGGGGTTGAATCACAAGCATCCATTGCAGGGGAGGGGATCGATCGGGCAATCGAAGGATTCAGAGAGATTACAGGTTAGAGTTTAAAAACTAAAACAGGATCTGCCCGGCAGCGGCGCTGCAGTCCCCCTCAGCGTCCCCGGACCTATTTCCGCCTCACAGACTCTCGACCACTCCAGTACTACTTCCCTTGACATCCAGGAGAGAGATCAATAGGAAAGGCACATTTCTCCAAGCAGACAAATGATTCATAGGCAGCCTAAACATAGTCACACAGCCTTGCCTAAAACCGTGCACACACTCTCCAGGGACAACAACACTTGCTTTGCAACCACATCACATTACATGTACCATGCAGCTCTGTCTGGCCAAGCTGTGGACAGCAGAGTCCACACAGATTGACACAAGCACATGAAGAGAGAACTTCTGAATCGAAAAACACACCAGACTGACGCCCCAATTCAGATGAGAAATGCATGCAAAAAAAAGATCATCCACAGCCACACAAGAGATAAGGCCAATGATGACGCAGTGCCAAAAAAAAAGATCATCCACAGCCTCCCAAGCTCATATCACAGTCAAAAACGCTGGAGCCTAACCTCCAGAAGGGGAAAGAGAGCTGCAACAGGCTGCAACAGGGAACTACCGTCTCCAGCCTAATCTCAAAACTGCCAAATATATCCATCTCATTCTCTCCTGCTGGAAAAGAGATCACGTCATCTATTAGCTGCCCCCACACATTGTCAAGCAGTCCGAAAAAGATCCCAAACGTAACAAATCGTGAGTTTCGCCGCCCAGACACAATTTCTCAGAGGCCTCCGACTTAAGCCGGAGGCCTGAACCCAACGGGGAGCATAGGTGACAGGAGGACACTCAAATGAGGGAGAGTCCTCACCAGCTCCTCGTCTTCCACTAGCATAAACTCCATTCCAGGCGAATGAACAGCCGGGGCTGAGTATGGACCCTGGATGAAAGGCACAGGCTGGAATAATCACCGCCAATGCATGAGTGACAACGCTTGCAGCAGTTGCTCCACCTTGTGTAGCTCATTCCTCCGGAATTTCTCATGACATCCTGCACTGCATACACAGTGAGGGTCCTCGTCGCCTGATTGCACACATGGACAGCACAGAAAAAGCCAAATACGTATTGACGATTGAACTCGCAGTCGACTCTCCACTGCCCTTACTGAGGCAGCTTCCACTTGACTGTGGAACAGCAAATTGGTAGACATGGAAGGCAGAATGCTGTACTCTTCTCCCGCAATGCAAAATCGCAAGGCTCTTCCCTTGCAGCGCCGTTCTCAACCTCAGTCTGCCAAGGCAGGCGATTCCAGCCATAACAGGATTGCCACGACTCTCACAACAACGCCCGCGAATACCTCTCGAGCATCAGAGACGAACAGCAAGGACAAATGAAGACTATAGTTCGCCCTCCACTTCAAACGCATAATCATAACAGTCCTGGACCACATGCGCACTTGGCTGGTGACCACCAAAGTTGGCCACATCGTACTCAGCTACCAGTAAGAAACTGGCGACAGCAACTGTAACGGTACTCCAAAACAATTGTTTGCTGTGCGATGCGGCATAACCCATCCTCATTCCTCTCACAGCAAAGCATCCGAAGGTCATGGACGCCGAGAGAACTTCAAATCTTCTTCCCTCCTGATGTCACCGAGAGCTGACTCTGAGGTGGTCGTTATAGATTCTCACGGGTTGACATGAACCCCCTGTCTTCTCCTCCTGACATCCACCACTTCCTGCCTAACACAAACGCCAACGAACGTAGCTCAATGCGCATCGACAAAATCATTCCTCCGACGACTTGAGAGAAGAGCCCAGAGAGAAGCATTTGGAACAGGAAGAGAATATAGGCAGTGGGAAATCCTGCAGCCCTACCAAGGCGTGTCAAAATGAGAGATGATCTACCTTCCCGTTGCCACTGTGAGGGACAACACACTCCACGACATCGTGCGCATTCAGGTTCTCATTTTGAAAGGAGGCATTCCTTGCACAGTGCACAAAGAAGGCCATCCTCAATACTGAGCAGCTCAGAAGTTGTACAAAAAGCCGGGAGTGAAAATCCAAATCCAATTCAGGCTCTAAGTGTCAGAAAAAACAGCTGCAGCCCCTATATACTGCAGGTTCCCAGAAGCAGTCTGGAAACCCCTACGGGAGTACTCATGTATTGACCGGTGCAAGTATCCTATCGTATCGAGCACGACTCCTGGTACATGTAGTTCCCCGGAGCAGTCTGGAGAGCCCTTCTGCATCAATCCTGCACTGATGCCAGTATCCTATCGTATCGAGCGGGACGTTGCTCGGATGGTTCCCAGAGCAGTCTGGAAAACCCTTCAGCAGGTAGCGGCTGAAAGACTCACACTGACATTTGAGATACGATATCTCAACAGTGGCAACAAGAAATTTGAGAAAGAGAACGAAGACTGACTGACACCCGGAAAGCCGAACAAAGACTCAGAGAGGGGTATGAGCGCATCTGTGAATGACGTATTCCGCGGGTGAGAGACATGGAGAATCACATCAGAGAGACATCACATCATTTCTGACAATCTCCCAACCAGCTTTGGCAATCCCCCCGAAAAAGGCAATCTCCAAACGAAGATCAGTGTTCCAATCACACACCCAATCTTGACTCGATAACCATACGGCCCTACGGCGCAGAGTGCCCGTTTACACGATTGTACAGTTCCTAAATAAATCCTATCATAATTGACTCAAACAAATACACACGAGTTTCTTGAAAAGCGCGCCTAACTAGGAATTAAAAAAAAAAAAAAAAAAGGATGCTTCCTAATCCAAGCCAAAAGCCTGCACAAAGTACCAACCGATCTCAAATCCTCCTTATGAAACCGGATTGGCACAATCAAAATGCGGTGGCCGGACGACTGCCTACAAACGGCAGAGAGAACTGCCTACAAACGGCAGCAATAATCCTACGAGCCAAATAGGATCTGAACAAGCGCACAAAATCAGCACTCACTGCACAATCCAAGGCAGGCACCACAGATCGTAGCAGTGACATGGACGCACAACTATGTCAATCATGTCTACTCAAAGCACATCTACCTACATGAACCAACAGCTGGAGCATACTCGTCCAAAATTCCAAATTGATTTCTTTATTCCAAGGCAATCGAACAGACACAGAAGTTTTCAGAGAGAAGAAAAACGAATTTCAAAGACACTAAAGGTTACATTTTGCAGCAGGCAAATCTGAAACATGAAGGTTGAGTTAGGATCCCAAGCATGTTCAGCAAATCTCTGCCAAAAGAAAGACATGTCAGCCCCGTTCAGCAGTTTAAACCAACAGTACCCCAGGGGGTCTAGGCCCCCTCTGGGGAGGGTCTGACGCAAACGCACATGGACCCACGTAGCACACCGATTCAGCCACCGCGTTAACGGCCTAAACACGTGGAGGTACTGGTGGTTTAACAAAGAATCTACAGTTGATTCCTCTCTCGATACTGGTATCGACTTCAATGCCTCATTCTAGAAGAATGAGTCCGGGAGAAGACTCTGGGAAAGAGATGTCAGTCTGGGAAAACATCAATCCGAAACCCAAAAGCAAATCAACACGGCCAAATCACTGTCCCCAACAAAGTGCAAGCATTGCAGGCGATTCCGATTGTGGTAATTCGAAAAGGAAAGTAGAACACTAATGCCATCGTTGTTTCTTCGAGTTATTGCCACTTTGCTTGTTCTCCGAGTCCCTCTTAGAGGGCAATTGTTTTCTCTGAGGGTCATTATGGGGTCGAGTTTCGCACCTCTGGGTGCTCATATTGTTGGCACTCAAGTCACCGAGAACAGGCCGCAACTGCCCCCTCAATGCAGCATTGCTGCACACGTTGCCAGAGCCGTACATCTTTCCAGACCGCATTGTTATTGGCGCAATAGGACGGGTTGCCACCATAGTCATCACATCCCCACCAGCATTGTGAACCACCGGGCCCATCTCCATTCCCCCTATTCTCGGCCCAGCTGTTCTATGATTTCTCAAGGTCCTTCTTGATGCACTTTCCGCACCTCCTGCAGCGCGAGAGCTTCTCTCGCCACTGCGTCTTAACCGGCCGCCATTATAGTCTTCCGCGACAGCCCGCCGGCCTCCGTTGTGTCTTCCCAGCAGCACATGACCGCCAGACAGTTCCAACCCTCCCAGAAAACGAGGCCCCACATGCAGTTGCTGAAGTCCCTCTGCTCCCCGGCTATCCTGCAGCCGCCGATTCGTTTCACTTTCAGTCAGCACACGAGAGCCCCTGCCCAAGCCAGTGTTCCCCACGCCATTGGCCGCATCACTGCCAACTCCACTCCCAGCCACATGTTTCCCTGTGCCTCCTCCACCCACCACTCCAGAATTATCACCAGACTGTAGACGTCCAAGATGGTTCTCTTTGTTAGCCGCGAGTGACGATGAGTCCAGACGCTGGCCATGTTCTGCAGCTTCCGCAAACCTTGCAGCCTGCAAGCATCAGATACGTCAACCATATGAGGAAAATGAATTCCACAGCAAGGCTCAGGGAGAAGAGAGGGTTCTATACTGGACCACCCTCTCTGCTATAAGTTGATAGCTAATTCACATAGAATTTCTGAAATAAGTCGCAGAGAAGCTCAGCCTGTTGCTGATGACCCCCTCTCTTCGCCTCAGCGGCTTTTGCAGCCTGTGCACCACAAGCCACAACCACAAGACAATGAGAGAGACGATTATACTCAAACTACACTTCATGGTCGACACTTCTCGCATTGCAAGCACCGAGTTCGCACAGTTCTGTCCGCACAGGGACCTCTGAGAAGCAAGGACTTGCCGAGGGAGGTAGGGAATGTCGCAGTCATACTCCAAAGCGTTCTTTTCGAGGTAGGGAATGTTGCAGTCGTCCTCCAAGGCATTCTTTCAAATTAAAATAATGAATGAACAAAAGAATGGAATGGCACCTGTGCTTCGACGACACAGACAAGCCAAAAAACGTCCTTAAATTGGCCACACAAGAGAGTACTCATATTACGGGAAGAACAGTTCTTTTTTTTTTCTTTTTTTTTAACAGGACGTGGCTCCGTGTCCATTCTGGGGAGCATCAGTCCGGATCCTTTTCCACCGGCAAGTCGTCTTGGTTAGTCTACCCGCCGGCCGAGGGAGAGAAGACCGACCAGGAGGTAAACAATTAATTGCAGATATAGCCCAGTGTTATCAGAATGGAGGGTCCAGGCCCATGGGTTGGAGCCGTTGTGATCGGAAGCCTTGAGCCCCCTGAATAACTCTTTTCGAGCCTTTATGAAGAACAATGAAATCGTCGGTGTGTATTACTAGACCTGATGTTCCAATGAACCTTCTTTTCCTAAACTCCTATTTTATATTCCATTACTTGAGGGTTTTGAACAGGGTTTCCTTTTCAGTTGCTGGCGGGAACTATTTTGATACCTGGATTCTAAAGCCTTCAGCACTGACTACTTCAATAAACATTCTTCCAACACACTCAAACTCTGTGCATTGTTCTGTGTGAGGTGGGGCATCTTTCCCCCTAACAAACATACACCCCTTCTACTCTGGGGGGCCTCAGTCCGGTTGCTTATCACCGGCAAGCATGGATTTACAACTGAAGAAAGGGGGGTGATACAGACGGGACAAAGGTAACCCCATCCCTTGTGGCACCAGTCGCCTGACAAGGGGGAAACTGCTTCGAGACAGCCCTCCCCAAACCGTGGCCTTTCGGAGGGCTGCCCTGCTGGCCAGGAGGCTTACTGCCAGCAACCAGTCACGCATCAGGGCAGCCTTCGGAGAAGTGAGGGGCGGGGGCGGCACCCCCGACAGTTCCTCAGGCCGCTTGACAACCTGTTTCTGGTTCAATTCAACGTCGTTCATCGTCTCTGCATCACCTCTGCCTGTAGCCCGTGTTTGGTTCCAGCCAGTTCCACACGAGTTCCATATCGGCCAATAGCTACCTCCGCCGCACCCCATTCACACACGGTCCTCACTCATTCCTCGCCTTTTGCACCCCCCTACACCTATGGCAGCCCATGATGGCCTATATCCAATCGGACAAGCAGCACACAGATTGTCCATACTCCCGCACTTACATTACCCCTTCTCTTGTCCTCCTCAATAATGTTGGTGATGTTTTGGTAGTGTTTTGTGTTTATTTTGCAGAGTGTTTTCCCCTGTCTGACCCTTGTCATCCCCTTATTTACGCAGTTACTCTCATTGCGAAACACAAGAAGCGCAAGTATTACTGACCTGTTCCGTGAGCACCTTTTTAAGCTCTTCTACTTCCTTCTCCCTCTTCTTGCGAATATCCTCCTCCTTTCTTGCAATCTCCCGGTACTCCTTCATTTCTCGCTCGTGCCGCTCTCGAAGCATGACCAGTTCACGATCCTTGAGAGCGTTTCTCTCCTCTCCCGTTCGTTTCGCGCTGGCAACAGCCTCCTCCATTGCAGACACATCAACCATCTCACTTATGCGTGCTACCTTCTGTTCCATCTCCTTCCGCTGCTTATCTATCTCTGCTTGAAGTGCCGTTACCTTGCCCTTGAGTCTCGCTAGCTCTCTTTCCATTGATGACCTCTCCGTCTCCAGGACGACCATTGCCTCCTCCTTTTGTTTCTCAAGCTCTTTCTTCTGATTTTCCAGCTGATGATGACGAGATTGGTACGTTTCAACCAATTTCACCCTCTCACTTTCGGCATTCGCTTCAAGAGCTCGGACCTTCGCCTTCAGTTGCTTGACCATTTCTTCCAGCACCTCACTTCGGGCCTTTTCTTTCATTTTCTCAACCTCCATCTCCTTTCTATCCCTTAAAAGCTTCTCCCGCAACTCCTCGTGCTCCCTTTCCATGTTTTGCTTCCAGTCGTCGAAGTCTTTTCGCGTGCGAGCCACACTCTTCTCCATGGCTATCCGCTCCTCACGCAGAGTCTTCTCCATGGCTATACGCTCATCCTGCAGTGTCTTTTCCATTTCCTCCCTAGCCCTCTCAGCCCGTTTCAAGTCGGTTTCCATCTTCAGTCGGCCCTCCAATAATTCCGCACGCTCTGCCAACCAAGCGCTCTTACTCAATGAAGCTTCCTCTCGGCTGATTTCCAATTCCTTCTCCATTGCCTTAACAGCCTCTGTTGCCTGCCATAACCGGCGTTCCGAGGCAGAGTGCTTTGCAAGAGCTTCTTTCAGCTCTGCCTCCAGTACCCTTGTCTGTGCTCTCAACACTTCCATGTCTGCCTCAGCTTTCTCCTCCAGCTCCTTGATTTTGGTCGCTTGCTCCTCCTCCCTGGTTGCAAATTGCAAACATAGAGCTGACATCAATTCAAAATTACAAATCCACACCATTGCAGAGAGACAGATCTTGAAGATATACTCATAGCAACATTCCACGCTGCAAGAAAAATGCTTGCCTTTCAAGAAATCAGATTCCTGAGGTCGTTTGTTAGGGTATGCCGATTTGCATGGCTACAACCATAACATTAACAAGCACAAAAGGCATCAAGTTGATTTTTTTTTCTCTCTTCTTTTCCGTTTCTTTTTGTAAGACCAGTCTCCTCGCTAGGAGAGGGGTAGATGGGCCACTCGGGCAATGTTGTTGTTTCACTCTGATTGACCGATGTTCGCATCGAAAACGAGAATGGCATGTAAGCTTGTGTACTACCCAACCATGCGCTGCAGGGATGCCCATCGCAAATGTGACAGGACCGTAATCCTTCAAAGTTGCAGCCCATATCATCAGAGGAAAGATTGAAAACACATCGTACTCCGAAATACTGCTTCCAGCACAGAGCAGCGATAGGTAGGTGTAGAGTCTGTAGACCCACAACCTTAGGATAGCCTAGTTCTGGTTAGTATAGTAACTTTAAGGTAGTCTTAGACCCTAGCCCTAGATCCTGTAGAGGCGAACAGATGCCTGAATACATCGTAGGGCTTATGCCTAGGATCGGGGCGTTAATGTGACGCGAGAGAGACGAAAAATAGGATAGGTAAAACAATACAACTGTCCCCCATATGAGGAGAAGACAGCTGTATTATAAAATAAAATAAAAAGAAGTAGATGAACGACCTGTCCTGTGGGACATCCGTTAAAATTGGAACCATACCGAGAAGACTAGGATGGCCCCTGCGCAAGGATGACACATATAAATCGAGAAATGGTCCAAATTTGAAAGGATGGCAAATTTAAAATAAATAAAAAATAGATGAATCAAGGAACACGTAAGTTTTCTGTCTAATCTCCACCTTTGCTTGTTCCAAAAAACATATGCTTGGCGGTGATAAGCAACCGGACTGCCGCCCCCAGAATAGAAGGGGCTGTTGTGGTGTTTTGGGGGATAAAAAAAGAGGGAACATGTAAGACCGGACACAATGCTGCAGCGAACATACAAAATTTTCTGAGCCACCTGCTCATTCCCAACCACTTCTTTCGCTTTCTCTGAAGACCTCAGTCAAAGGCAAAAGCCATGAGGGAGCAGACCCGCTTTTAGCATTGACGAAGACAGGTGAATCAATGCCAATTGGGTTCCGCACTTAGGCTCACGAAATCCATGATGAACCCGACTACTTGTCCATCGAATATTCAGTGAGACTCTGAAGAGATAAAACAGATGCATATCATCTTAGACGGAATTGCCAGATGTGGGTGGCAAGTCAAAAGGAGTGGTGATATGCTGCAAAAACTGATGCCTACAGTACGTAGCAGCTAATGCCTGCCCCACCTTCTCAAGAAATCAGGAGCTCCTTACCTTTTTTGAGCCCTTGCAACCTCATCCTGGAGAACCCCAACACGGACTACATTCCCAGCATACAGTCTTCTCATCTCTTCCAGCTGTTCTCTGGCTTCTGCCAAGGCCTCATCCGACTGTGCCAGCTTCGCTCGCAAGTCAGTGCTCTCCTCCCTCACCGACGCTACATCTTTTTCCAGCTGTTGCTTCATACCGACCACTCGCGTCAGCTTTTCCTCTTTGGTGGCAAGCTCCTCCTCCATGGACAGCAACTTAGCATTCAGAGCAGAGCATTCAGCATCCGCTTTGGCGCCCCCATTCTCTAATTGCTCCATCCTCTTCGCAGCTCGCAAGAGTTCTTCGGCCCTTTCGGAGACTTCACGCTCCATTTCCAACACCTTGGCCTCTAATTCAGCACGTGCCATTTCCATATCCGCCACCTCCTTCACCAGCTTCTCCCTGTCCTTGCACACCTGGGCGAGCTCTGTACCTCTCTCTGAAAGCTGCTGTTCCACCCTAGACAGCTTGGAAATAGCCTCGGCGTTTTCATGCTCAACCTCCATCAACCTCAATTTCAGACCATCACAAGTGGCAAGAGAGGTTGCAAGCTCAGACTCCAACGCCTCCAACCGAGCGGTACTGTGCATCACCTTTTCTGCATACTGTGCACGCTGCAGTTCGGCGACCTCCAGCCGAGCAGCAGTATCGGCCCATGAGTGGCTGACTCGTTCCAAGTCCGCCTTAAGACGATCAGAAGCAGTATCAGCCTCCTGTAAGCGGCTCTCTAGCTTCCTGTGCTCCTCCCTTGTAAACTCCAAAGATTTGGCCATGGCCTGCCGGTCTGCCTCCATCACATCAACCTTCGACTGCAGATTCTCGTGAATAGCCTCCATATCCTGCGACTTCAACTCTGCAAGCATCAAGCTCTCCTGGAGCTCAGCAAGCTTCCTTTCCATTTGCCGCACAGCTTCCTGCTTGGTCTCCTCGGCTTTAACAAGCTCCGCTTCCAAATCAGCCTTTACACTGCGGATTGAAACCAGCTCCTCGCCCATCTTCTCCATCTCCAGATTTCTCTCCTTCAACATCACTATCTCATTCTCCATTTCGGAACACCTATCCATGACCAATTCCATTTCGTTTTTCACCCTATCCTCCTCATCTTTGGCAACATCAACGCGAAGGAGCGCTCCCTTGAGATTTTCTTTCAATTCTCCAATCTCCTTACCTGTACAGCTTTGTTTCAGTTCTGCTTCCTCCTTAATCCTGGAAATTTCTTCTCCCACCCTTGCACTAAAATCATCCCTTTCATGAATGGCCTGGTTCAACTGTTCAGTTACCTTCTCATGGTTGTCCTGGAGCATGGCCATCTCTTCCTCCACATCCACAAGCCGCTTTGCAACCAAGCATGCCTCCTTCACAGAATCCTCCAGCCTACTTTTCAAGTCTGTGCATTCCTCCCTTAACGTCAAAAGCTCATCCTCCGCATCCTGCCTTTTCCTTTCAGCTGCCTGCCATGCAGATTTCAATTGGGTTTCCTCGTCTCGAAGCCCCTGCAATTCCAGTTCACACATAACCTTCTCTGCTTTCAGTGCTTTCAGTTCCTCCCTCAGAGTTACTAGCTCTTCCTGAGCAGCTCCTAGTGCAGTTTGTTTCTCCGAACACATAGCATCCTTCCCCGTACTTTCTTCCTCCAACTGAATACAACGCATGCGCAACTTCTCGCACTCTTCCCGAATTGCAGCAAGATCGTCCTCTACCAAATCCTTATCGTTAATCACCATCCCAAGCTGGGCCCGCAGCTTATCCCTCTCCTCAGAAATTTGTTCCAGCCTCTTTTCGGTTTCTACAGACTTCAATTCAAAAAGGGACAGCTTCGTCTCTACACTGACAAACTTCTCACGAGCAGCTTCAAGCTCCTCCAGCACTGCTTTCTCTAAGATCTTTGTTTCCTCCAATTGCACTTCAAGCTCGTCTCTTGACCGCTCTACACTCACGAGCAGTTCCTCAGCTGCAACCTTTTCACGACAGAAACGAGCCACCTCGGACTCCATCTTGGCACACTTGGAGGTCTCTTGCGACAGGTCATCTTTCAACCTGTCGCATTCAAACTGCAGCTTAGTCATTCTCTCGTTTCCTTCCTCGCGAACCTGCTCCACTCGCTGAAGAGCACATTCTCGTTCCCATTCCAAGTCCTCGAGCTTAGCTGTCAATTCATCCCTCTCGACCTGCGCTTGGGCCAGACGAGCATCCAACTCCGCTTGTTGTTTCTCTGTCGCAATCTGGAGCTCCTCAAGCCTGGCAGCATAGCCTGCAGCTGAAGTTATCATGCGTGCCTCTGCTTCCTGTTTGTTCCCAATTGCAGAGGCAGTTAGATACCACCACCTACACCTCTGCAGCCCATACTAATAGAATTTACTCCATACCATTAAGTATCAAGACGATGACAGATATTCCCCTGTTCAGGACACTTCAGAACCATTTAAAACAAATGCACTGTGGGGGGAAAAGTATTCAGGGGGTAAGTATCAACAGGCCCGGCCTCCTGGGAAGGCATTCGGCTGTTTGATGTTCGCACAATAACACAGCAGCTCCCCTTCTTTGTTCCCATCTGCTCAGGCAATCGACAACTTTCACTGCAGTGTGTGACCCTTCCTTTGGCAGAAATGTAAAAGCACAAAATAGATCGACTTCACTCGTACCTGCTGAGAGCACTTTCATTTCCAACTTCTCTCACGAACACGACACTTTCAGTACCCCCCTATGTGCAGCGCCTTTGCATTTTCGGTAGCTCAAGAGGTGCACCGAGACCTTAGGGCACACAATTCTCACACGAACACGACACTTTCAGTACCTCGCTATGTGCAGCGCCTTTGCATTCTCGGTAGCTCAAGAGGTACCCCCAGATCTTAGGGCGCACAATTCTCTCACGAACACGACACTTTCAGTACCTCGCTATGCGCAGCGCCTTTGCATTCTCGGTAGCTCAAGAGGTACCCCGAGATCTTACGGCGCACAAGCAACTCCCTTGACACCACGGCTGCTCCACGAATCAGACTTCTTTACTGTTCATATTGCTCTCAAATTCCTTTTTTTTTTTTACCATTTCTCCATTCATGTGTGTCATCCTTGCCCAGGGGCCGTGCTAATCTTCTCTGTGCAGTTCCAATTTTAACGGATGCCCCAAAGGACGTTGTGCTCCTGCTCTGAATTTCTAGTTGTCTACATTCATGAAAGTGAGTGTACTTGATTTGAGCGGCACAGGGAAACAGTACGTTACATTATAGTCAGGCATATTGGAATCAAAACTCAAATTTACAGCACATTAACAGCATACAAAAAGGGCCAGCGCGGCTCCGTCCGTGTCAGGAAGAGGTATTGATGTAATTGAAATTAGTGTGTACGAAATCGCCAATCGCTTCTGGAAACAAAGAATGGGGGGTATGTAGGCTGGTGAAAACAAACAAAAGGATTCTGTTTGAAAAACAACAAAGATGAATGAAGTACAAGGAGCCTCAGTGAGAAAGAACGGTGTCTTAGCCTTTCGGTTTTCCAGACGAAGGCTTAACCCCCTCCGCTATAAAGACAGCACAAACGCTGCCACACCTCAAAGATATAAGTCAACGTCCCCCACACAATAAATAGTATGTACCTTGGCAACAAAGAACTAACATCCCCCTCCGCACCCATAAAGACATACTCCAAATGTCACCATGCCTTAAATACATAAGTCGAGAGTAGAGTAGTGAGTAGACTACATTGTATAGTGGTACACGTTAGAGTACAGAGCAGAGTAGACTAGAGTTTAGTAGAGTGGAGTACTGAAGAGTAGAGTAGAGTAGATCATAGTAGAGTAGAGTACAGTAGAGCATAGTAGAGTAGAGGAGAGGAAAGAGTATTGAAATAGAATAAAGAGTAGAGGGTAGAGGAGAGGAGAGGAGAGGAGAGGAGAATACAGAGTAGTCAAAGTAGAGTACAGAGAGAGAGAGAGTAGAGAAGGGAATAATAGAGGGTAAAAGAGTTGAGTCGAGTAGAGTAGAGTAGAGAGTAGTGTAGTGTGGAGTAGAGAGTAGACAGTAGAGAGTACAGTACAGTAGAGTAGAGTAAGAGAGTATACAGTAGAGAGTACAGTACAGTAGAGTAGAGTAGAGTAGAGTATAGAGAGCAGGGTAGCATCGAGATTACAGTACAGAGTAGAGAGTGGACAGCAAGGGTTCAGTAGAGAGAAGAGAGTAGAGAAGAGTGGAGGGTACAGAGTAGTAGTGTACAGGGTAGATTGGGACAGAGTAGTATAAAGTAGAGAGTAGCGAGCTGAGAGCAGAGAGAAGAGAGCAAAGAGCAGTGAGTAGAGAGACGGTGAGTAGAGAGTAGAGTCTAGAGAGTAGTGCAAAGTACAGTAGAGTCAGACGTCCGAGTTGAAGAGCAACATTTGTTTTCAAGTAGTTGTCCGTTGTCGTGCCTATTGTCTTCGTGGACTGCAGGTCATTTAAAAAATAAAAAATGCAAAACGCACACGGCGCAAGACACAGAGAGAGAGAGAGAGAGAGAGAGAGAGAGAGAGAGAGCTGATGCCTGTCCGATGGCAATCTGGAGTAGCCGGGAGTGCAGGGCTTTGGTGCATGTCGTCCTTGTGCGTGTGTGCATCCGTGCATTCATGCTTGTATATGTCCCTGCCTTGTGTGGGTGCGACTGTGCGTGTGTGCGGGCTTGCGCGCATGCAGGGGGCTTGCATGCTTGCGCGCATGCAGGGGGCCTTGCGTGCTTGCATGCTTGCTCGCATGCAGGATTAGGGCCTGGCTCCACTACACAATGTTCACGCATTTGGGCGCTTTCAGGACAGATGCATTCGGACGAGCCAGGCCCTTACTCGCATACGGGCTTGCGGCCTTTTATCCCCATGTAGTCCCTCATTCACCTTTCCTCTTTCTGCTTCTGAATTTCACTTTCGTGGGCGCTCTTACAGGCTTCAACGGGCCGGGCTCTCTGGTTTGTTTCACCTTTGGAAGGGCAGCGGCTGTGAGGCAGCATTACCACAATGCCAGGCCCCAGGTAATTCAGAGTTATTCCATTCATTCGGTCGCCCTGGGATTCGAGCACTGGCCTTTCACTCAACAGTTCCCGGGTACCATTCAGCAACATGGGCTAACTTCTTCGAGCCTCACCGCACCACTCACCAAATGTGCAAAATGAGCATTTATCTCCCGCAACACCATAGAAAGATACACCGGCCATATTTTTGCGTTTCTCACATCTGTGGAGTGGTGCCGCAATGCCCTTTTTCTTTTTACTTTTCCTCAGGGCGGCCTCAAAAACGCATCATATTTGCGTCTGACATCTACTGCGCCACGGTATCAAGGAGAGGGATCCTGGTGCTGACTTGTGAACAATAGTAGACGAGCAAAAGCGAAAAGGGGTAGGGGGAGGTGCGAGTGACCAGCCAAAGATGTTCGGCACTAGCATCGTCGTTTTCCCCCGTCGACAATGCCTGATCACCCCGCATCATTGTGACGAGGGGCTGATACAAGCCTTGATCTCACACCACTGCTGTGATGCCAACCTACCCCATGGGCTGGGGAGAGTTCCAGGTTTGGTTGGTGTTCCCCCGTACTCTACATAGAGTAGCGAGAGGATGAGATACATGAGGGAAAATATATATATATATATATATATATCGTCACAAACAGAACTGCCCGGTAAACCGTAGGCAGAGAGAGAGAAGAGGACAACAAACGAGGGGCTGTGACAAACTGTTTCGTCAGAGTATATATATATATATACATTTATATATAAAGAAGATGGAGACAAGAATATAGATTAGTTATAAAAGAGAGAGAGAGAACAAAACAATGCGACAAAAAAATTCTGACACAGCGTCATCCGTGCTCCACGACCAAAACAAAACCCGCACGTACGATGTAAAAGTCTAGTGACTTACTTGTCCTTCGAGACATCCGTTAAATTGGAACACATCTCACGGCCAGAACACCAATCTCGGCCAGGAGCAAAAGCCCGCGGCCAAGGAGAAATGTATAAGAGAGTAGTAGTAGTTAAAACCATTGTATTCCCATCCCCAAAGGACGTGGTTGCTGAACAACGGCCATAACTACCATCGCCTAACAAGGAAGGCATCCAAATCTCAATATCAGCCAGATGTATACCCAAATACATACAGATTGAGGATGCAGGAGCACAGCTTGGGGGAGAATTTGGAGACCGAGAAGCAGGAGCATTGGTCTGCCAATCAGGGACGTGAATGTAGATGGCTAACATTAATGCCATTTTTACGGCGACGGCTTTTTGGTAGTGAGACGTTTAGTGTGCAGTTTGATTTCGGCATTAAATGCTGAAGGACATCCGAGAGTGTCTGCCGTTTGCTTGCAAATAGAGGCTAGTATCTTCCCTAGGGGTTCCGAATGAAAATGTCCATCAATGTCAGTGCTCATCTGAAATTTGATGTGCACGCGTGCAAAAAAAAAAAAAAAAAAAGAGTCTCCAGATACAACAGACACGGGATCAACCACATGGCAAGTAGTCTTACCTTCAACTGAGTGTCAACCTCCATCTTCAGGGCACGTTCCCGTTCAAGCTCTACTGTTAGCCCATCGATTTCATGCAACTTCTGTTCAAGCTCCGCCTTGATCTCAATTTCCCTCATCTGCACTCTTCTCACTTCACAGATTTTCTCTTCCACCTCGATGTGCAAACTCTTAATCCTTGCATCTAGATCCTTATTTAATGCCTCAATCTCTTGCAGTTTTTCTTCATACTGCAGCTTCAAAGCCCGAGCAATCCGTAATTCCTGTTCCAAGATAACTTCCTTCTCTTTCCTCTCCTCATTTATCCGAGCTGCAGCCTCCAGCTCCTCCTCGATCTCTGAACAACGCTGAAGCCACTTTGCATCTGCCACTATCTTCTCCTTCTCCACAGCAGCCTTCTCGGCTGCGAGTTTCTGTACTTCTTCCTTGTGGGTCTCTAGCTCGCAGGCAATCCTTTGCATGTGCTTAGCTCCCTCCTCTCTCATCGTCACGAGCTCTCCTTCCTTCCCTTCCACCTGTTTCTCTAATCCAACAATGGCAGACCTCTGCCTTTCCAACTCCTTCCTCATCGCCCCAAGTTCATCCTCAACGCTGGCTCGAAGGACCTCCATTGATTTGATTTCCTCCTTCAACTTACAGATCTCGCTTACACTATATTCCCTCTCTGATTTCAGAGACTCACCGTACTGCTGGAGACTTTCAAGCTTCTCCGTCCATAAAGATCTCTCTGCTGTCCTCTCTATTTCAATCGTGGATGATTTCTCAGAGAGAGCATCCCTCTCTGCTGCCAAGGTCTCCACAGCCTTCGACTTCTCTTCCTGCAAGTCCTCTAAAGACACCTTCAAGCGAGCGACTTCCTCAGTTGCAGCTAGCAAGGCCGCAGATCTCTCTTCAGCTTCCTTCTCTAATACACACACAGCCGATGTTTTCTCACCCAACTCCGACTTCACTTGATCCAGCTCCCTTTCCTTACACGAACAAGAGTCCATAGCATCATCAAGCTTTCCCATTATTTCCTTCTTCTCCTGTTCTATGATTGCCGCCTCCAACTTCGCCGCCTCAGCCACAGTCTTCATACCGTTCATTTGTGCATCCCACTCTGCAGTTTTGGCATCGACATCCTTTGACATACTGCAAACCAACCCCCGCAATTGAGTTATGTCCATGTCCTTCTTTTCAACTTCTTCAGCAGCCTTAACAAGCTCCTCTGTTCTCTCCTCAAGCAATCGCTTCAACTCCTCGACAGCAGATTGTTTGTTAACCAATTCCACCTCAGAACGTTTCAAATTCTCTGCCAATTCCAGCCGCATGGTATTAACTGCGTGCAGCTCTGCCAAAGCCTGCCTCGTTTCCGTAGTGCTGGTCTCTACCTTCTCAGCTGCCTCCGTTGCAGCACGCTTCAACTCAGAAATCTCCTCATTCCATGCTTCCTCCTTCTTTGACAGATCATTGCTCATGTGTTCCAGATTCTCTAGCAAAAGCATATTCTCAACCTCCAACTTTGCATCCTTTTCCCTCAGCTGGGTCAGCTCCTCTACCTTCACCTGCAGCCTTTGGATCTGTTCCTGAAGCTCGGTCAAAGATATGTCCTTCTCCTGGACCTCTTTCTGCAGCATCTCAACGCAAGCTGTGCGGCCCAACAGTCCATCCTTCAGTTGCTCTATTTCCTGATTTAGTTCCACAACAGTTGAGTAAGTTTTCAAGGCTTCCTCTTTAAGGACATGATTCTCCCTCTCCAGGTTTTCAACATCATTGTTCTTGATCTTCAGCTTCTCTGCATTGATTTCTTCCATACGGGTTGCCGCCTCCTCCATGGAAGCCAGCTCACAATCTTTCTCTCTACATCTTTCCTCCAACAAATCCCGGCTTTGAACTGCAGTTGTTAGATTCATCTTCATTCTTTCGACTTCTTGTTCCATCTCTGCATGGATCGTTTCAAGGGTATCTACTCTCTTCTTCATATCTCTCTCCCTTTCAAGTGCATCATCCTTTACAGAGACCAACACCGCATTTTTCTCCTTCTCCTCTCTTAGCAGCTCTGTTGCTGCATCCAGATTCTTTACCTGCTCTTCGAGCTCGGCAAGCGCCCTTTCTTTGGCTTCGAGCTTCTCCTCTAACATTTGGGCAGCCATCCTAGCCTCTCCTAGTTCCCACTTCATTCGTTCTAACTCAGCAACCAGCTCAGTGTGAGCCTGTTCAATTTCCTTGACTTTCTCGACAAGACAGATATTTTCGGACTCCAGCTTCTGAACATTCTCCCTCTCCACGCGAAGTTCCTCTGTAAGGCCAATTTCATTCTGCCTAGAATCCTCCCTCACAGTGGCTATCTCCGAATCCTTCTCTTTGCACCTATCCTCGAGCATAGCTTGCGCCCTCACATGACCTTCCAGGTCAGCCTTCATCCGTTCTACATCCACAGTCATCTCAGATCGGATGGCTTCCAGTGATTCAACCTTCTCCTTGAGCTCTTTCTCCTTCTCAGTAGCCCTGGCTTCAGTCTCCTCCATCATCCTCTGGGCCTCAACCCTCAGCTCTTCAAGTCGAGAAACGGCTGCCTCTGCAGTTTCTTTTGACGCCAAGGCCGCATTCAATCTGTCAGTTATGTCCTTCAGCTTCATATCTACATCCTGCCATCCATTGACGGCCTCCTCGGCTATTCGTGCATGCTGCTTGATTGCCTCCTCCTTTTGCCTAACCTGCTCTTCGGCCAGTGCCTTCGCTGCAGCAGCTTGCTCCGAGGTGATGCACTACAGAGACACCAAACAGATAAATAACAAGATTCCACACCCTGTCAGACAAAGGACGCGTGTACCCAATTATTCCCCAGGTTCATTAAAATTCCATATCCTGACTTGTGTGCACAATCCTGTGCAGTGGTGATCCTGGTATTCGCCATTCCGTTCCAGTTCTAACAAACGTCCCGAAGGGTAGGCCCATGAAACACAGAGAGCCAGCCAACCAATCCCAATTCACACAGCGTACACATGTAACAAACACTATGTCGTAACAGACCTCGCAAAGCTCATAACTGCCCATTCAAAGGAAACAGTAAAGTGATTTTCTTTTTATGGAGAACAACCAGCATGCACAGCGTACATCGCTGCAAGAAGACCATGCACGCATCGAAACGAGGCTGCATGATAGGATCAGAAAACAAGTCTCCGAAACCTGCCCATCAGATCGAAGTCAAACTACCAACGATATGCAAGGCAAGGAAGAATTCAAACTGACAACAAGCATCCATCGATTAGCCAACCAAAGAGCCACAGGAAACACAGCTATAATAAGTGTATGCCCAGCCGCACCACCAGGTCGATGCTCAGTTTTTGTACGCTCGGATCGTACATTACACAGAAAAGCACGGGCCTTCCTCTCGATGAGGTGGCCAATAATAGCCAATCCACTCCACCGAAGTTCGCAAGCTACGGAACACAGTGGCCCAAATGAATTTTGGAACACCTATCTAAGTAACAAAAGGCTATCAACATGTTTACAACGCTCATCGCCAACATCACCACCACCCTCATCATAACAAACCCTATAGAAGGGATCACCACCATAGCTATAATCACCCTCACCGCCACCAGCGCCACCAACCATCACCACAGATGTCACAACCATGCTTGTTCTCAATGCCATTCCCATCCCTGTTCCCTGAATGATTATCTTCCTCCAATGGTCACCTCACCGCAAGGATGTCAATCACCGATCAACGTAATTCGCATTTCACATGTCGCTGCAATTGTTTACACAGCCACTTCAAACACAGGAAACGGGGCCGGAATCCACATGGAATGGACATCTAGCTATCTTGGCATGAGATTTATGCAAGGTCGTGAAATTCCAGAAAAGGTCCCGATGGGATGGTTCATGACGAAAACTCCAGCCCTCTCTATTGAAAGTCCGCTACTGTTTCTGTCATTTGTCATACAAAAGATTGCCCGTTCATATCACCTGTCCACGGAAAACGCAAAAAACGAAAATGCTGCTCAAAAACAAAGTGCAAGATGAGCATGGGCAAGATAAGGCCAATATAGCGTCCGAAGGCAAAAACAATCCGAGGGTCAGATCTGGCCCATGTGGATTCTATGTCGCACTTCTTTCTCCATCATTTCAGAGGTGTTCCTATCGGTAAAAGGCTTGCAACCAGGCAAATTGTACACCACGATGTTTTGGATTTCTGAGGGCCAGGCAGAAGAGCTCATCGCGAAAACAAGGCTCTGCACTGGTCGCTCGTAGCAGTCGGGTCGGCGCTGCCCCTTGTGGTTTCTCTGTCACATTTGTTTGTCAGCTCTTTCAGGTGTTCCGATAGGTAAAAGACGCACAACCTGGCAATCGTACGACACAACGTCTCGGATTTCTTACGGTCAGGGGGAAGAGCTCATCGCAAAAGTAAGGCTCTGAGGTGGCGGGTTAAAGCAGAGGCTTGCTGTATAAGTCAAACCAAGAATCAAACCATGGCGCTATGCCCTTCCTGCTACACTGACAAACCACATTGAGTCTATGACCCCATTGAAGTCTGCATGCTTCTGAAACTGGTGCGGAGAGATCGTACGTGTTCTTCGGAAAAATGCCGTGAGTAACAGATACAACGATGAGATAATAAAAGGAGCTCACATCAGCTGCACAATTTGACAGGTAGCACCCACCCTGCATATGCCTGATGAGAGCTTTGTCAGGCATGATTGCGAGCTTAGGTGGACGATAGAAAACGCTCAAAGTCACAGCGGCAGCAGCCAAAACCACAGCAAAGACGACCCCTTTCACTCCAGAAACTTTCCTGACACCGAGCAGCTCCTCAACTCCTCGCCTCCCCTATTTATTGACGTGCACATTGAATTGAGATAGAGCCACAAAGACATTTACATGTGTAAGGAATATTACCCCTTGCCTAGAGCTCATTCATCCTGATCGGGATGACAAGACATGAGATCACGATTGTCTGGGCCAGGCTGTTGAATGGCAAGTAAAGACAGGTGAGCATGGGTACCCACATCAAGACTTCACAATCCCCATTGTCGCCATCGGATCACGCTCCCCCCCCCCCCACTATAATTATCCCACTGATCTCCACAATTTTCCCTGTCAACTCCCCATGAGGTCCGCGGGTGACCGTTCAGCAGATAAATACTTGCAAGGACCAAGAATCACACTCAGAGCCAATCAAGACGCTCAAAAACGAAAAGCTGAGAGAGGATAAGATGAGCAATGGCAACCTACCACAAGAAATATGTCTACACATCTTTGATGACAGTGGAAGCTCCCTATCTAGCATATGGATTCGATGCCGCACATGAGCACACGAAAATTTCCCACCCACTGCTCATCTTCGATCACTTCTTCTCACCTGATCTCAGTGTCTTCCATCCTCTCACTAAACATCCACAACTGTTCACGGGCGCCGAATTCTCTCGACACAGACTCATCCCACCCGTCTCTCTATGATCCTCGGTGTCTCGTTATGACTCTATGCAAAGTTGAAGATAACCAAGTTGAAAGAATATTACACCAGAAAGACGATCTGGCAGCGCTTTTCAAGGTTGGCGTTTACACAGGTGATCTTACATACCATCTGCTCAAGGTCCGATTCCATAGACACCTTCTCTGCCTCCAGCTTCTTGATCTGCTCCTCTAGCCTTTGATTGACAGCAAGCGCTGCATTTAGACTCCCTGACACCTCATTCAGTTTGACTTTCAACTGCACATACGAATCAGATTAGAATCAACATTGACCAATCAGTTAACAATAGAAGACAGATTGAAAGACCACTACCATGACGTAATCATGAGATTGATGCGAATTTTGCTGTCTTGATAGACTCCACAGAGGAGAAAAAAACACACGCATGGATAGAAAAAATAGGTAGCCAAAATGAGTAGCGAATGCTTGCAAATGTGAATAGAAAAGTGGACAACTCGGTACACATAAACTTGTAATTATAACGTAACATCGTTAGGTTACTTGGATACACAAATGCCATACAATCAAAATGCACGCACATACACGCATATGGAAAGAAGTAGTGGCACTCCATCTTTTAACAGAGTTATTGAAATGGGAGAAATCAGTGCCATCTACTCGGACCTCCCAACCATTACGGGGAGGGGTGTGGGTGAGTTTCACTACGAAAAATTTGACTTGCCCGTGGAATAGGAACCCGACTGACGCTCCCCAGAATGGAAAGGAGCCAGAGCCATAAGGTTCTGCTTAAAAACTAAAAACTAAAAACTAAAAACTAAAACAAACAAACAAGAGTCATTGAATCTTGTCTTCACACCTCAGGGTCCTGATTCGATATGATAAAACAGGAGTCGTTGACAAGAGAGTAAGGACTGTAGGAGACCATCTCTGGCCTTGATTGAATCCCGGTCAGACACAGAGAGTGGTCACCAAAGACAGACAGAGGAGAGTAGCAAGAAGTACCTCTTGCTCGGCAGCAGAAGTTGCAGTTAGCTTCTCCATGAGCTCCTCCTGGAACGAACTCTGTGCCTTGGCTGCCATTTGAAGGTTCTGATGGTCCGTGCTCATCTTCTCCAGCTTCGCTTGTGTGCTAGTGAACTGAATTCGCAATTCACTTGCTTGGCACTCCATCACAGACATCACACGCATCACCTGAAAAACGTCCAATCATATGCACATTCGCATCAACTTTTTTATCCGTTTGCACAAGATTTATACCATTCACTCGTACAGAGATAAGGATGAAAGCATTATTCATGCAGAGAAAAATGGAAAGACAAAATAACTTCGCCATCTATGCAGAGAAAAATCCCAGGAAAACTACATAAGATGTAAGATGACAAGGAAGACGTGAGGATTAAAGTGTGCGTCAGCCAAGAGGACAATAAAAAATAAAAAAATAAAAAAACAGAGCAAACGACTAACACTAGACCAAACCACCCTCGGAAACAGTTGATCCTTACTCATTCTATTGGCCCAATAGCTTGTTGACTCCGACACCATTACACGTTGCATGGACGAACAGAAAACCACATCGATAGACAAAACGTCATGCATGGGCTTCACATAATGAAAGGGAGACAAACGAGGCACAGCTCTCTTTCCGCCAATCATTCAATGGTCCTCCATAAAGGTGGTGGCACGTGTCAACTCCTTGGCCTCACCTCATCACACCGGTCGCGCGAGCTTTTGTATGCGCTCTGGTACTTCGATGCTTCCGCCTCGGCCTTTACCAGCTTCTCTTCGAGTGAAGCAGTCTGCAAAACGATCAGTACGTTCAACCACAGCATAGTTAGATGTAAAGACTGACAACCGTGGGCCTTGACTATCTCAAAAGGAAGTTTTCAATTCCTTTGTCAGAAAATTCATCTTTCCAAATAGTTTACACAGTTCCCGATGCAAAAAAATCATCCACACAAAACAAATTGCCTGCAGTTACAGATAGAGACCACAACATCACGTGCTCTGAGCAAGCTAGGTAATATCTCTGGACATTGTTAAGCTGATGGGGCGCACAAGAGTAGGGTTTCTTAATGACATGGTCCAAACTCTCAGACCATTTCAATAGATTCATAGATGCATCATGAAGGGCATGATGGCCACTTCAAAGACTGACCGTGGCACCTCAGGCAGGTTACGCATGGGTCGCCGGTTTTCCGACATGGTGCAACGATGGTAACAACATCTTCAAGATACCACTCAGACATGCCAAAAAAATATGAGAGGTAAAGGGGGTTTCAAAGGAGGTTGTCAGGTACCGGAATGTTCAGACACAACACCAAGGGGTGGGGGTGGACAGGATCCGAAAGAAACCGAGATAGAATTGAGAACGAAATGCAGCAAGGGTTATCACAGACATGGGCACTTTTGTATTGCGAGGAAGGCCAAAGAGTTCACACCAGCAGAACAGAACGGTCCGTTTGAACATTCCACAACCTCTTGAAGCACATTCCATTTCCAACGCTCCTTAAAAAGACCTGGAAATGTGGGTTTTAACGATGACCAACCTTCTGCTCACACTCTGCCAGCTTCTCTTTCACGGCATCTCTTTCTGCTTTTGTACTCTGCAGCTCCTCGACTAGCTCGCCCTTCTCATCAAATGCTTGCTGAAGTTCATTCCTCATCGACCTGTTTAGGTTATCCAGCTGCTCCAGCTCCATCTCCATGCCTTCCTGCCTCCTGTCCTGCTCCATTTCCTCGAGTTGCACTGCGCCATCCAAGTAAGTTGACTCTTAGAGATCGTTTGCTGGATTGTTAAACACAAGCATTCTCAGCACTTCCTTGAACTCAGAAAATCCCACCCATCCACCTGAAATCACCACAAACTGAACGTTGACAGGTACTCATCTCTGTCCGCATTTGGCAGAGAGACTGTTGAGCACAGGGTGTTCTGGACTCGGAACAACAAGGGGATTCGACAATCTAGTGGAAGGATGCGAATTGGAGTAGTTCCACCCAAGTGAAGCACTACAATCCGGTTTTCCTCTTCCTCCATTTCGTGAACGATTTGGTCACACAATACTCGCTCAGACGACAGGAAAAGAACGGTACATACATGCGGTTTTCCTTTTCCTCCATTTCGTGAACGATTTGGTTACACAATACTCGCTCAGACGACAGGAAAAGAACGGTACATACGTGCAGCGGTACTGTGGGCTCCGTGGACCTTGAGGAACGAGCGATGAAGACAGGAGGGAGATGCACCACCGCTGCGGGCATACCAAAAAAGGGCGCTGGAGAACATTAGGGTTGCCCTCTTGAGAGACCTGCATCGATGCAAGTGCACAGGAGAACAGAAGGAGAAAGGMTTTTGGGCACGATGGGAATGCAAGATAGCAGGAGGGAGCTGCACCACCACTGCGGGCATACCTAAAAAGGGCGCTGGAGAACATTAGAGTTGCCCTCTTGGCAGACCTGCATCGATGCAAGTGCACAGGAGAACAGAAGGAGAAAGGATTTTGAGCACGATGGGAATGGAAGATAGGGACGGGCAAAGAATTTGCTTAGAGGGGTAGGATTTTGAGCACGATGGGAATGGAAGATAGGGGCGGGCAAAGAATTTGCTTAGAGGGGTATCTTATGCTGAAACGCACAAACACAGGAAACCGTTGGAAACAGGAATGGAAGAAAGAGAAGGTGCAGAAGGCATAGAGAAACGGAAAGAGGAAAACGCTGGGCCTATCAATACTAGTAACAAAATGGAATGCTGCTGCCACTAAGATCCTAACAGTACACAGGCAGGATCAGAATGGCAAAATGTTACAGACGGTCAGATGGGGACCACGGGATAGTAAGGATTGGCAAAGTCCTACAAAGAAACAGGGCAGGGTATACTTAAGAGATACGCATGTATAAGATTGATATAAGCAGGAACAAGGGAAGATTTAGACCGGTAAGGTAAATTGGATTACAGACGGTCAGATGGGGACCACGGGATAGTAACGATCGGGAAAGGCCTACAAAGAAACAGGGCAGGGTATACTTAAGAGATAGGCATGTATAGGATTGATATAAGCAGGAACAATTTAGACCGGTAAGGTAAGGAAACGGTTGATGATTGGATAAGTGGCCTCAGGGACTGCCCTGAACGCCCCCCCCCTATTACCTTTCTGGGGTGGGGGGAGGACGAATATAAGGAGCGTATGTTTGTTAAAAATAAAAAATAAAAAAATAAAAAAACACTGACAGCATGGTGAGGGGGGTGTGCTTGTGTTGGGGGAGTGACGAGGGCACAGGGGAATCTTGACGAATGCTAAGGGTAGATTATACTCACTTTTCAGAGCATCAACTTCCATTTTGAAGCGGACAACATCAGGGTGCCGTTCAACCATTCCTTTCAGGAGCTCAATTTCTTCCCTCAACTCCGCCACATCACTTCCAGGAGTCATCCCACGTCCATTGACAAGCTTCTCAAGGCGTTTGATAGTGTTCTCTCGGAGCCGTACAATCATCTTCTGGGTCTGGAAAATTACAATTACAGTAATAACGTATGGGACGAAAGGTCAACCAGAGAAGCAAGAGAACCAGGTATACTTCACCCGTTGGGAATCATAAACCCAAGCATATGGTATGCCATGCCCGCCTATATATGAGTCATTCCTTCACCAACACTACACATGGGCAGTGGCAAATCTCTCTCTCTCTCTCTCTCTCTCTCTCTCTCTCTCTCTCTCTCTCTCTCTCTCTCTCNNCACACACACACACACACACACACACACACACACACAGAAAAGACATCCAAGAGATCGAAAACTGTTTTATCCACCATGTCACATGAACTCGGATTAAATGATGCACATAACAGGAACCACCATCAAGTCCACCCCCTTCCTAACCCTTTCCGCAAGAGAAAAGCAAGCGTTGGAGGACCTGTAGGAAAGAACAAGAGAGGAGAAAAAGGGGACAAAGGACAGGCTTTCGACCAACTGTCAAAGAAAAGAAGTGCAATAACGACCAGCGGTTAAAACCACACGTCTATGCACACACACTAGGCAAGAAAAATCAAATCAAAACAACCACTGTCCCCTCTTTCTTGTCCAATGTTCGACTCAACTCCGTTCCGCTGAAAAACTGACCTGCAGTTGATTCTCTAATCTTGCACAGAGCTGCTGTGTGTTGACAATCTGGTGACTTATTCTCTCCATTTTCTCTGCTGCCTTGCGCTCCACTTCCAGTGCCCTCTTGGTCGATTGAGATATGATGTGCTCCAAGCGGCCAATTCTCACTGACTCTGCAGCCGTTTGCATGAACGAACAGATGACAAAAGCAAACAATTACAAAACGCCTCACTTTAATCAACTGCTGGAGAGTCAAGGGTCCGCAATTTGCTTCCCCACGTGACTGCCGGAGAGTCGAAAAAATTGAGTCCCTCCAAAGCCCTTGAACGCATTAAAGAAGACAACAGCAGGGTTACGATCAGCAAAGTTACAGGGCCCACATCACATCGTGAAACACCTCACTCACCTGTCTCTTCTGCAGCTGGAGCTGATGAAATCGGTATGTTCCCCATGTTCGCTGATTCATCAAGCAGACCACAAGAAGAGATGAAAAGTCAATGATACAGATAACCATAAGAAAGAAGTGCCAAAGAAACAATAAGTAGACTTTGGACAGAATACTCTCCTTCGGGATAGCATTGCCCACTTTTCTGCATCACTTCGGAAAACTTCCTATTGCAATTTCTTTATCGTGATATAAAGACATGGACAACGCCTAGAGGACAGTCACAGTGGAGTGAAATCCGGCTCGACAATCTCCAAACCGCAGCGCCCAAGGCCAACGTTGAAGGCGTCTTCACGGGCGTCCTCCAGTAGAATCGTCCATTCTTCCAGCCACAATGAAAGCCAAGAGCAGGGTCCTTGAAACCTAACTACCATCTTCACCCGTATAGTATCATTGGTGCATATATGGACTGGAAGTCGCCCCAGATAAAGCTATAACAACTGCAGTACAACTGCCCAATAGTTCATCGCGCAAACATCCACTAACAACAACGCAGTCAGACAGACACAGACATGCACACAGACATGCAATAACATCTGACACAGGGATCTCGTGTATAGGACCTCACATAAACTATAAAAAAAACAGGAGCCGAACTTATAAACGAAAGTGAGTACCTCGAAAAGTCACACAGGGTAAACGCGTTACATACCTCGGAGAGCAGCAATCTCAAGACGCAGACGCCGAATTTCCTCGCCCATGATAGCCGGATTGCCAAACATGTCCTCGTTCACTATTGCCGTATTTCTCATCAGCTTTGCCCTCTGGGCAAACTTCAGCGTTGACAACGTCTCGTCCATATTCTTCTCTGCAGGACTTATGTTTGCAACCAGGGAACACTTCGAGTTCCCACCAAGGGCATCCTTTAAATTTACACACCCGATCACAAGCCCACAAACACAAAGACACAACCATATGCACGCACAAGAGCACACACACCATTCATCAGCATGTATGTATGTATCACAAATCCGAAACGTTTGTCAAATAGGCACTTCAGTCTTGCCAAATACCCACATTCACATGCCGTCGCTGATATGCAGTTTTTCATGTACCATGACCGTGCCCCGTCAGGCCCCCCCAGAAGCGAGCTGAAAAAAAAAAGGCAGAATTGGAATTGCAAGCCGTAGCAACACACCTTGAGAAGAAAGGTTAACTTCGAATCACGATATGGCACGTGTCGAATCTTCCCTTCCGAAATCTCTACAAGAGCCTGCACACAATTTAATAATACAAGGCGATTGCCAATTAGTCATCCAGGGTTGAAAAGAAAGCCATCTGCCCAAAATTCTGACATTTAAACAATAACTAGGTTTGAGAAAACAAAGCTATTGACATCCAGAAATGCGCACACACCGACTTCGAAATGGGTGAATTCTTTTTCACTTTTTCCCCTTTTTTTTGGGTTAACAGCAAAAAGTGGAAGCAGAGAATACGTCCATAAACGACCAGGTGTGCTGCATTTATTGACATGGGCGAATCTTGGTTTTCGTCACCATGCATATTTCCGTTCATGCGCTTGCTCTTTATGAGGACATCCGGAAAAAAAAAAAAAAAAAAAAAGAGGAAAAAGGAGGGAAGGAAGAAAGGTAGAGGATCAAGCCAAAGGCATGGCTGAATCTCACAAACTAAATCGAAGGAGGGGACAGAGACATCACGCCCCCACAGAAACGTCCTCCAAAAATGAGTGCAGCAAGATACAGTCAATTCTGAGAATCGTCTGAGTTTGCCAACTCCTAACGCTTTTCTTCTGGCGGTCCACAGCAGTGGACGGAGAGAGGGAGTATTCTGGCTGATTTTCACTATGTGCTTCTTAAACGGATATACAGTTTTTAGGGGAGAAAGGTTTTGTCCCAAAAGCACGACCCGTGACTGACCGTCAGTAATTTCAAAGGAAGTAATCAATGCTGTCAGGGATCCCTGGGCCATAAAGCAGGGAGGCATCAAGAGTGCGTAGATCATGTATCTGTCCTGCCTTCGAGCAAAGAATGAGCACAGGACTGATGCTCCCAAGAATGGACATGGAGCAGGGTCCATAAAGACCTACTTTTACAAACAACAACAGGAGAAACACAGATATACAGTTTGCCTGAAAGAGCTAAACCAGGTAAGCCACCCACCAGGTAGGTAAGTCCACAACCGTACCATCCACCTTTCCCCTCTCCAGTTGAACGTACCTAGCACAGTCCTGTAGCACCGTCCAAACACCCCATACTCTATACTCAAGAATCGACTAAAATCTTCGAGAAAAGAAACGAAAAGAAAAGACACAAGCTCGAAGTAGCGATCATGCAAGAAAAAAGTATTCTGTGAAGTGGGCGTATTAGTCGGAGTCAGGGGCTTATAAAAGTAAGTAGTGATAAAAAATAGAAGTAGCGATCATGCAAGAAAAACCCTCTACCTTATGCATTACAGCAGGTGTTCACTCTCCTTACCTTAATCACATTACCGAGAGCAGACAACGAACGATTGATACTGCCCGCCTCTTTCAGCCGGGCTCCAACAGCCTCACTATGCCTCTGCCGCTCCGAGCCAGCAAGATCGACCAAGTAGAACCGAGATGTCCTCCGATTTAACACCCCACCATCGTTGCGGCGCTGCATTCATTGACACACAGGACCCAAAATCAAAACCGTACTCAGTGAAACAGTAGAGCCATTGTACTATAGAATGCCATGCACTCTTTAAGGCATACAAAGCAGTGGTGCTTTTTTGAGAACTCTCCACAAATCACAGAAGTGATTCAGAATTGGAGATAAGGGGTGAGACTAGAAGCTCCATAAGCTTCACGATCTAGGTCCACCTATACACTGCTTAAGAACATCCACAGAGTGTTGTGGACCAGCCAAGACAACAGAGGACAATGCTGGAGGATATTTTACACCCATAGCACCACAAGACCAACCTCACGCATACAGTACCTAATGACTGAATGACGGGGGTGAACGCATCACACTGGCTCACAACAGCCTTCGAGGCACAGGCTTGTGATGACCATACCACACTTTTCTACATGCGCACCACACAAAGAAGCCTACTTTTCTGCTTTCGCCTGGCTTTGTGTATTGGGCCTGTGTCTATGCTGGGCTTGTGTATAAGTGCGACAATGATGGGTTTGTGTATATGTGTGGCTGTATGTTGGGATGGTGTGTATGTTCGAAACGTGGGGTATATGTAGGGGATTTGTGTGTAGCGATGGTGTGTACGTGTGTGTTGGGATGGTGTGTATGTTCGGAATGCGGGGTATATGCCGGGCATGTGTGTGTGTGTGTGTGTGTGTGTGTGTTGGGAATGTGTGTATATTGAGTTTTTGTATGCTGGTTGTATGCATGTTTAGTCCGTGTCTCTTTGTTTATACGCTGTGTTTGTGTGTATCTTCAGCACAATAACACCTTGTGTGCGTGTGTGTGTGTGTGTGTGTGTGTGTGTGTGTGTGTGTTGGGAATGTGTATATTGAGTTTTTGTATGCTGGTTGTATATGCATGTTTAGTCCGTGTCTCTTTGTTTATACGCTATGTTTGTGTGTATCTTCAGCACAATATTTTGTCTCTTCTCTTACTGATGCTCGTTCATATGCATTTAGTTGTTCTGCTCGAGGGGAGGAAAGGGGGGGCAAGAGACGAAGGAGAGAGGAAGGAGAGTGGAGGAGAATACGTATGCCTTTGTGTATGCATTTTATTTGCTTGTGAGTGTGCAACAGCCTAAACGGAATGATAATCACACCGACACGGCCCCAGAAAAAAATGTGAGGCAGTAGGTTTTAAAAAGATACCTGTGATTCGACCACAACAGTAAACACGCTGTGAGAGCGACTACTCTCCATATTCATTGCCGTCATTCCAACGTGACGGTTCTGCGATCCCCGGCGGAAGACCCCATAAGTTGCACTGGCGTTCGACACCACAACCTCCTGCAGTCCCTCAACATACATTCCCCGCTTGGAATCCTCACGGATATCTTAAGGGTAGAAATGAAAACAGAAACTGAAGTCAAGGACCATTCCCTCGCTACATCGCCATTGCACACTGCAATTGACTAACAGACGGGAAAGGAAGCAACAGCGGGAAAAAGAGGACCGCAAAAAAAGCAACGGGAAAAAGAGGACCGCAAAAAAAGAGGACCGCAAGAGAAGGGGCTAACAAGCAACAACGGAAAAAAGAAGACTGCAAAAAAGGCAAAAAGACAAGGGGATAGAAAAGGCGAGAAGACAACGGGATGAAAAAAGGCAGGAAGGGAAGAGGCAGCAAGGAGACAAGGAGACAAGGAGGAGGCACAGGAGGCAAAGAAGACAGAAAAAAAAGAGGAAGAAAGGACGGACAGAGAACATACACAAAAAATACAGGGAAAGTACAGAGAAAGGACGGAGAAAGGGCAGTGACAGGGCAGAGAAAAGACAGAAACGATGGAGAAATCAAGGAGAAAGAGGCACCAAGAGACAGGGTAGAGGGAAGTAACGGGAGAAAAAGGTAGAAAGGAGATGATAGGGAATGAGATAGATACGGAAGGAGGGAAGGAGAGTATTACCGAAGAGAGAAATTTACAGCAGAGAGCAGAGAGATAGAGATGTAAAACAAAAACCACGTGGAAATGAGGGAGGGAGGCGAAGGAAGGGAAACAACAACGAATGGAAAAATGCTAAAGAGAAAGTAACAACGCATGGATGAGACCAAGAGCATATTGGAGGAAAGAAAGAGAGAGAGAGAGAGAGAGAGAGAGAGAGAAAAGAGAGAGAGAGAGACGAAAATAAACGCCAAATAGACTTCTGTCAGAAAGACCTCCACCAAAACAACTTTCATCCCAAGACAATGGTCAAAGAACGAGGTTTCCTAATAGCGGCCACCACATAGAAACCTGATGTGCAACTACCATCTTCACCCGAACAGAACGTCCGGTAATTATGGCCGTATCTGGGCCTAAAGTTGTGCCAAATACAGCTATAATGACCGGCGTTCTATTCGGGGGAAGACGCTGGCAGTGCCCGAGGGATGAGGTTCACGAGTCCCAAGTCAAGAGGAGCCACAGAGCGCACGCAGTATAGTAAAAGGATACTCAAATTGTTGGATTCGGGGTACAACAGGTCGGACACTTGCTCATTGTATATCTGCACACGATCAAAGCACAAGGAGTCACACGAAACAGCCAGCAAGTAGAGGACGTTAAGACCCGTGGTAAATGCTCATTCTCACAGCCCTCCACCATAGGAGGAGCAGAACACAAAATACCAATTCGCAAAACGAAAAGTCATATCGACGAATTAACCAGAAGCGCACATGCATGGACACGCAAAA